GTTGTAGCAATCGTTATGAGTTTGGTCAATTTTGTTTATTACCAATGCTTCTTCATTTTTAATGCTTGTTTTTTCAATCACGGCAACTTTGCCTGTGCATTTTGTCACAGTGTACAATCGACAATACTAATGATGGGACTGATTACCGCCTGTGATGGAATATGTGTAAGAGACTGGGGAATAAGACTGCTTGGCGAGAGTGTGAAAGTCCGAGCTGAAACGCCAATGCGGCCGATCGTTGACAATCGTTCTTATGCATTAAATACACCAATGAATCCATGGGCAGAATCACTTGGCTTCAGTGAATTTACATGATATAATTTGTAGTAAAAAAGTAAAGCTGTAATTATCCAGATGAAAATGAGTGACTTTTATTGTAAAAGATATATTCATTTTACAATGTGTAGGTTTGTTTTTATGTATTGCTTATGATCTCCCTTAAAATTCCGGTCCTAATTAATATTCATGATTAAATGAATAAATTAGGCCACCTCCATATAAAGACCACCTGTCTATAAAGGACAGTTTGGCTCAGTCCACTGACTGTCCTTTATAGACAGGTTTGACTGTAATAATAAAATAATTTTTATTAAGTTTTATTGAGGGTGTGTCTTAAATATATTATACCCGATTAATTGGTTATCAAAATATTTAAAGCAGTTATGAATTAATTAAAATACCAGGGTAAGTTAAATTGTATCTTGTAGAATTACAATCAAGAATAATAATTAGTTCATGAATATTAATTAGGTTGGCTATGCAGATCTCCAATAATTGATAAAATTATTGCTTTTGGTTAAAATAAGTCCTTTTTAATTATAAAATTATTTTTATTAAGTTTCATTTTGGGTGTTTCTTAAATATTAAACCTGAATAATTTTTCACAAAGATATTTAAAGTAACCGTTAAATAAATAAGAATTAACAAAATAAATATTGTATTTGCGCTTAGTAGCAGTTTCTATGATCATAAGTAATATTTTTATGTTTTGAATACTGTAGAATACTTTATTTTTGCTGGAATTAATTTTCGTTGAAAAGACTTTTTGGTTGTTTTGTATGAAATTAATTTTCCTTGTTTTTTTACAAGTTGAATGTAAAATATAGGAAAAAAGGTATATTCACTGGATTTTATTTTCACTGAATCACTCTTTCAGCGAAAATAGCAAAAATTAATTCCAAGCAAAAATAAAGTATTTTACAGTACACTACAAATATAATTTTTGGTTTAGAAAGAGCAATAGAACAAATACGGTATATAATTGAAAGAAAAAAGAATGTCTGATTAAATCCATTTGGATGTATTCCTCTGAGGTGATGGTTTTATTAGATTTGATCAGCTACTGTTCAGCTGTTCCATGGCAGTTGTTGGAAGGTTGAAAATTGCACAGTGTAAACATCTGGTGTGTAATACCGGTACTATTAATTTGCATCCACTTTCACCTGGACATTACATTAGTTGCATAGGTGCATTTAGAGCCATATCATTGCGGTAGTTCAAACAATTGTTATTATTTTAAAATAATTTACTGTAAAATACTTTATTTTAGCTGGAATTAATTTTCGCTGAAAAAAAAAGGTTTTGGATGTTTTGTATGGAATTAATTTTCACTGATTTTTGACGAGTGTTATGTAAAATGTTGAATGACAAGTTTAATGAAACAAAGGTGGATTTTATTTTCACTGAATCATTTCTTCAATGAAAATAGCGAAAATGAATTCCAAGTGAAAATAAAGTATTCTACAGTACTAAGTCATTAAACAGTCTTGTTAATCAGCATTTTTAGCTAAGCGTATGTAATTACCAGCATGTGTTCTCTGAACTCCAGCCAAATGTGTGTGTGTGTGTGTGTGTGTCATTGATGTTACGCTATCAGTGCACATAGCTAGCAGGGGAGCATGTGTTCTCTGAACTCCAGCCAAATGTGTGTGTGTGTGTGTGTGTGTGTGCCTGTGTGTCATTGATGTTACGCTATCAGTGCACATAGCTAGCAGGGCAGCTGTAGTTCTTGAGGGCATGACAAAATCTACTACGAACTCATCTGTATTTGTCTCGCGGCACATCACAGATCTTGTAACCTTGCATGATGAAAATGTCATTAAATGGCGATCTTGTGAGGTCGCTACATTTGTTTGAAATTTCTATATCTCCCCTGGTCGGTGCGGTATTAAGTTTGGGAGACTTATCCAGTCACTTGTAGCCTAGTGGTTGTCCCATCAGATTCATGACCGGTAGACCAAGTTCAAATTCTACCTAGGCCAAAAAAAAAAATTGTTTTGTTGCCCTCAGCAACCGACCAAAAAATATGAAATATCGGGTCACCTTTTTTTTTTTTTTTTAATAGGTCCAAATATTAAAAACTCACCATTTTAAGCAGTAAAAAAGTGTTTCCTCAAAAAATTAAGGATCCCGGACCGTTGTTTGATCCCCAGAGTCCCTGTATGTGGCGAATTTGAACCGCGGGTTGATCTGTACTTCTCTGACAAAATTTTTCAATTTTTTATTTTTTTTTGGCCTTATGCTGAACATCAATAGGGTCAACCCCTACCCTGGGTGAGTGTGCCACAGACTCAATGGGAAGGCCAATTCCACTGGCCGAGATTCATTTACTAACAAATGCGACTTTGGGGGAACCTTGGTTAAGGTCCACATGTGCTTGTGTCGAGACTGAGCCTGTTTGACGCCAGGATAGCGCATTACAATTGCCATTTAGGGATAGGGATATGGCCACACAGCCTTGTCATGTAGTCCAAAACATGAATATGACTTCTGTGGCAAAAATACACTATGTGTCAGCACTAGCACTTGCAATTTTCTCATATGAAAAATAAAGTCAGGAGAGACAACAGTGACATTCAATGTCCGGAACTGTTGCTTGGCACAAAAAACTTGAAAAAAAAAGTTTGGGAGACTGGTTTGAACACATGCAATTGCAATTAGCATTTAAGACAGTATGGAGTGACTTAAATGTGTAATAATGTCGCCTGGCGCGTAAAAATTAAAAAAAAATACTAAGATCATTCATATTAAGATGCAATGCAAGTATCACATCATTGTGAATGTGAGGCAAAATTGTTCTATTAGAAAGTATGAGACGATCACTCATCTATGTGCAGCATGAGACGAAGAAATGAAATATTGTGTTCCCATTATAGTGTTTAGGATTTGTCTGTTGTAATTGACCATTTCCCGTTCACTGCAAGAATCACCCGTTATATGCGTGAAATCAAACGTAAAAACAGGATAAACATAGCGTCGTGGTGGGGGACATTTCCATGATTAATAATGTGCTGTACACATTTGATGATAGACAATTTTGATTAAGTGAGGGTATTTGAAAGCAATATTCCTCTGTCGAAGATCAGCCGGTCGATGTGAGCTACGAAATAAAGAAATTCGAGTTCAAAATCAAATCAAATTTTTTTGGCAGACGTTTGACGCGTGTCTTTCATGCAACTCACGAAATCTTGCAGTTGAATGAAAAATCACCTATTAATTAACATTACATCACGAGTTAAATATGATAAAGTTGTTTCATTAAATTTTTATTTACAATTATGATGAATTGTCACTTGTATTTAAATATTTGTAAGATATTTTGTCTCATGGGAGAAATAACCTTTGAACAAAAAAAACACAGAACGCGTGCAGATGTCTCGTGTTCCATATTTGGTGAGAATACTCCCATAACATGCATTATAAATGATAGTTTTAGTAGCATTGGGCAAATACTTATGTAAATGCGAAACTATGGGTGTACTAAATAAATTGAGTGGTTCTGATGCTATGCGCATCAAAAAGGAGGTCAGATATTTTTATTTTGGCAAGTGAAAGGAAAAACGCATACAGACTTTGTTTACAAATGAAAAGTAACAACTGAGTTTAAACATTGAAATGTCATCACTTATTTCGGTATTTTTTCTTTGATACGACATATCCCATGTGTTTTATTATTGTAATGGTGTTACGTACTTCTGAAAAATACTTTATTTTAGCTGGAATTAATTTTCGCTGAAATAATCTTATGGGTGTATTGTATGTAATTTATTTTCACTGATTTCTGACGAGTTGAATGTAAAATATAGGATAAAAAGGTATATTCACTGGATTTTATTTACACTGAATTATTCCTTCAGCGAAAATAGCGGAATTTAATTTCAAGCGAAAATAAAGTATTTTACAGTACTGAATCATTAAAATATGACTTACCGGTTATTTTGATTACAGACACACACCTCAGTCCTCTGCCAATCACACATAAGTACATGTATTACTGATACAGAAATGATTGCATAGCTGATATCAAGAAATTTGATTTAAAGGAAACATCAATCAATACAACATAATGACCCCTAAACAAAAGCTCCACAAATGTAGGAGAATGCAATTTACAGTTTTTCTCATGTTATAGATGAAATAATTTTCTCAATTTCTGACAACAGATTATATGATGTCATACTTTACCCATAATCCTTTGCTTGAGAATCAAGATGGCTGACTACATAATACCGATAAAAAGTTGAATATCTAGAGAATGAAAACAGATGAAAAAAACTGTCAATTGCATTCTCCTACATTTGCTGAGCTTTTTCTTTAGAGGTCATTATGTTGTTTGGATTGATGTTTCCTTTAATGAAATTATCGAAGATCATACTTTTGTTTTGTTTTAACAATTTTATTTTCTGTATTTTCAGCCAATTTTGAATCGACTGCAGTTGGATGACAAGCAGAATGTTGTCAAGGCACCGGAGAGTATGTTTAAGAGTTTTTGGTACTTATTTTCCTGGAGCTACACGTACTATGTACTATTCAATGGAAAATACGATATATTTCAAAATCCAGCGGCTATTTTTGAAGGTATGTAAGCTTCTTTCTTATTGGTTTAGCCCAAGTCTTATCCTAGTTTGTATGTAATCTACTTTCTAATTGGTTTAGCCCAACTCTCATCCTAGTTTGTATGTAAGCTACTTTCTAATTAGTTATAGCCCAACTCTTACCCTAGTTTGTATGTAAGCTTCTTTCTCATTGGGTGGCCCAAGTCTTATCCTTTTATGCATGTAAGGTTCTTTCTGATTGGTTTAGCCCAAGTCTTATCCTAAATTGTATGCAAGCTACTTTCTCATTGGTTTAGACCAAATCTTATCCTAATTTGTATGCAAGCTACTTTCTAATTGGTTTAGCCCAAATCTTATCCTAATTTGTATGTAAGCTTCTTTCTTATTTGTTTATCCCGAGTTTAATCCTAGTTTGTATGCAAGCTACTTTCTCATTGGTTTTGCCAAAGTCTTATCCTAGTTTGTATGTAAGCTACTTTCTAATTGGTTATAGCCCAAATCTTATCCTAGTTTGTATGTTACCTACTTTTTCATTGGTTTAGCCCAACTCTTACGCTAGTTTGTATGTAACCTACTTTCTCATTGGTTTAGCCCAACTCTTATACTAGTTTGTATGTAACCTACTTTCTCATTTCTTTAGCTTAGTTTAGATTATTTGTAAGCATCTTTCTCATTGGTTCAATGGCAATGAGTAACATATAGTCATAGGCTAGAAATAGAACAGGGTAGATTTGTGGGACTAGTAGTAGAACAGAGAATATGTAAAATATGTGAATCCCTTGAAATAGAGGATGAATACCACTTCGTTTTAAAATGCCCTATGTGTGAAAACATTAATAACATTTTTTTTACCCTCATGGTCAAATTTTGACCAAATAATCCCAAATAAAGCACAAATTCTGAGACAAGAATGTATTAGCATGAGCTGACCTTTGACCTCAGGAAAGAATATTTATGTATTTATTTATTTTTCTCTGTATTTGGGGAATGGGCCAATGGCCTTCAAGAACAAGAAGTTAAAAAAAATGAGTAACATATCTTATTTGGGCTCAGCCTGTACAGTTTTGTCTTCAACATTTTCTCAGAAATTCTGCCGCTGATATCAATGAAACTTGACCGGTTTCTGTTTGTTTGTTTTTTGTTTGTTTTTTACAGATTGGTCAAATGGTATGACAGTACCCTGGGATATATATATCTTGTATATGTACCAGTGTGGGTTTTATTTACATTCCATCTATGCAACTATCTATGTTGACGTTATACGTAACGATTTCTACCTTATGATCGTACATCACGTACTTACGGTAGTACTCATTGGATTTTCCTATTTAATACGGTACGTTTGGTCGCAATAATTTATACCTTACGATCGTACATCACGTACGTTCGGTAGTACTCTTGGATTCTCCTATTCAATACGATATGATTGGTCGCAATAATTAATACCTTACGATCGTACATCACGTACGTTCGGTAGTACTCTTTGGATTCTTCTATTCAATACGATATGATTGGTCGTAATAATTAATACCTTACGATCATACATCACGTACGTTCGGTATTACTCATCGGATTTTCCTATTTAATACGGTGCGCTTGGTCGGTTGCTCTCATCGTGGACTAGACTAGTTCAAGAAAACTATTTCTGCCATATCAACTATTTCCACCATATCCTTGCCATAATCAGCTCTATTTCAGATTTGTCTCTACTTTGTGCTAACTATTCAATTATTTATTTCAGCTCTTGTGAAATTTCGTTTCATTCTTTTTGTTGATACAGTACGTCGGTTGATATGGCTGGTCAGGTGATAAGTCTGTGAATTAAAAATCTTAGAAGGTTATCGTTTTTTCGTAGAGCTGGTTGATACGAGTGGCGTCAAGGGCTCGTATTATCTACAAACTGAAGCTGAGTGGATAAATACAGACTGTGATGTCACAAGTATTATGTTTACCGAGGTGCATATGATTGGCTTCAGTGTCAAACTTGTGTTAAGAGACCACCTCTACATCAAGTCCACCTGCCTACAGTGAACACTTGTAATGTACTAGGTGTCAGAAGTAACAAAACTGATACATAACATAACATAAGTGTGCAGAGTAATTTGCCAAAATATGCTTCATATTAGTAAAATACTACAAAGAATAACTTGAAATTATTGATGACAATTATACTGACTTAAAATATCATAATGATATGAAGTTTTGACGTTTTCACCACCAGACTTTCATCCAAATGTTTCTGCATTTTTTTTTTTATATTTCTCGATATTTCTGGAAATGAATCATAATTTTGGAGCCAATTTTAGTTTACCCAAAACATTTGGCTATTTTTGTCACAAATTTCTGAAAGAAAGACTATTAATAGGAGTATTTTGTGAATTTGTGATGAAAAGAAAGAACTGGTGGTGAAAGGTTAAAACTGTGCAGTAACTGCATGCGATATAGGAAATGATACTGTAGAATACTTTATTTTTGCTTGGAAATTATTTTCGTTATTTTCGCTGAAACGATGATTTTTTTTCTATATTTCACATTAAACTCATCAAAAATCAGTGAAAATAAATTCCATACAAAACGCCCAAAAATCCTTTTCAGCGAAAATTAATTCCAGCGAAAATAAAGTATTCCACAGTATAACACTGTGGAATTGTGTTCCTGTTTTTGTGTTTGTCTTTATTTTTGACACCAATTATTAATTTTTTGTATTTAGATACCACAAAATAGGACTGTTGGTCATTTTCTGCCACGATTTGACGGATATCTTTTTAGAGTTCGCAAAAATTTGTGTCTATACGAAGCACCGTAAAGGAAGAGAATACAATTCTAATGAGAATGCAGCAAATGTGCTGTTTTTTGGTTTCATGTGTTCATGGTGAGTAATCATGTGTTCATGGTGAGTAATCATGTGTTTATGGTGAGTAATCATGTGTTCATGGTGAGTAATCATGTGTTCATGGTGAGTAATCATGTGTTCATGGTGAGTAATCATGTTATTATGATGAGTAATCATGTATTCATGGTGAGTAATCATGTATTCATGGTGAGTAATCATGTATTCATGGTGAGTAATCATGTGTTTATGGTGAGTAATCATGTAC